ACACCCTCAGCTTCCCCCCCGGGGGGGTTTCTCATCTGTGGGGCTTTGTTTGGAGGTGGGGTGGTCCACGGGGGTCTCTCCGAGCCCCCAACTGCCCCACGGCTGCTCTGACCCCACCAGGACGCCTGCGTCCTTCCCGCCATGGGGTTGTCCCACCCCGGTGAAGGGGGGAACAGGAACGTTCAGAGCCCGTTACCGGCTCCTCCTCGCCATCTTCTCTCCCCGCTTCTCAGCGGGGAGGTTTCTGGAGAGATCAAAAGCGCCACATCCTCTCGCTGATGCTCTGTGGGAGATGGCATCTCAACCGCCGCTCCCGAGAGGAGGAGGAGGAGGAAGAAGAAGGGTCCATCAACGGCTGCTGCAAAGACGGAGGATGGAGCCAAGTGGGAAGCAGCAGCCGTGGAGCTTCGCGGTGGATGTTGGGAGAAACTTCATTACCCAACGGTTCAGCTGGAAACCTGGGTCGATGCTGGACCTGCGATGGGAGCGGGGAGCCCCTGTGGTACTGTCCTCTTCCACGATGACATCGGGGACAACGCCGGGGCTGTGGTGGGACTCCAGTTTTGGAGGTCTCCAAGGTTTTGCGTGTCACTGTCCCAGGATCTTCCGCTTTCTTCCTTTGCTGCTGCAGTGCGTTAGCGGCCCACCGTGTTTTTGGCAGGCGTGCGGGTCCACCAGGGAACTCTCTAGTGACAAACGGTGGCGACTGGGGTTTGGGGTGACCCCTGGGGGAGATCTCACCCCCCTGATATCCTCCCCCTCCCCGCAGTGGTCAACTGCCCCATCTGCAAACAGCAGTGTGACCTGAAGGACATCGTGGAGAACTACTTCCTGAGGGACAGCAAGGCCGAGGATGCTGCCGCCAGCCAGGAATCCAGCCAGGTAACGCATCGTTAATGCTTAATTAATCCTTAATTAGGGTGAAAGGAGCTCCCCGCGGGCTGGGTGAGCCTGGTGTCCCCACGCTGTGTGTCCTGTCCCCTCCCAGTGTTGCACCAGCTGCGAGGACAACGCCTTGGCCACCAGCTACTGTGTGGAGTGCTCGGAGCCGCTCTGTGAGACCTGCGTGGAAGCCCACCAGAGGGTCAAATACACCAAGGACCACACGGTCCGGGCCACAGGTCCGTCCTTGTCACCGTGTTGTCACCGTCCCGTGGTTGTCGCGCTGTCACCGCCCTTTCTGAGGCAGCGACCGTGTGGCCGGCGCATCCCCGGGTCCATCTGGAGGTGCCACCGTGGTGGCCGTCCCTACCCCACAGGGACATCTTCCTCCCCTTCAGCGGGTGCTGTGGTGGTGCTGGTGATGTCATGGTGACATCACAGTGATGTCACTCCATGTTTTCTCCCCCCCCTTTTTTTTGGCAAAGGGAAGGAGAGGGAACGTGCTGTGTACTGCTCCATACACAAGCACGAACCGCTGGTGCTCTTCTGCAACACGTGCGACACGCTCACCTGCCGCGACTGCCAGCTCAATGTGCACAAGGACCACCAGTGAGTGGGCGTCGGCGGTAATTAATTTAGGAAAGGTTGATTTGTCAGGGCTAATTATCGCTTGGATGGGTTACCCGGCTCGTGAGCCCTTAAAAGCTGGTGATTTGGGGTAAGGCGGATAACAACAGGTTTATTTATCGGCTGAAAAGATCACCGGCGCATCTTCTCAGCGAGGCCCCACAGCACCTTAATGAATATCAAGAAGGTAGATAAGTAATTAAGCTGATTAACTAGTTATTGAGAAAGAACTGCAGGCTAATTATTCTCGTTGGTTAATTACTGATTTTAAAAATGAAGCTTATTAGTTATTAGCTGGCCAGCTACTGGAGGGATTGACCCGGTACAGCGTTAGTTTTGGTTAATTTTTGGTTTTAACCAAATACGTGCGTTGTCTGATTAGTTACTTTGCTAATTAGCAGCCTGGTTGGTTTGAGGAGCTTAATTGCTTTTTAGATATTGAGGAATTGGAGATGCTATGGAAAATCGATATAATTACCTTCCAAGTTATTTCAATAGGTGGATTTTTAACCAATTTTTTATTGGGTTTTTTTTGTAGAGTGTTTTTGCTTTGGAACTGGTTAAATTTTCTGGTTGAATTGATAATTAATTGGATTAATTAGCTGAGCAGGTAGCTGGTTAGATGACTTATTTGTTTATATTAAATGCATTTTCAATGCAGAAGGTCTAATTTGGTTTGAGTAACTCATCAAGTTAAAGTGTGGTGGCTGATGAGTTCGTTAGCTCCTTAACCCAGATTAACCCAAATTAATGATTGTTAATGGCGAATGAGTTAACGAGGAAGGTAGAGAAGCATTGAGGGGGTTAACTCACTCATTCGAGTTGGTTCTCTTCTCCAGTGGCTCCAGGAGTTGGGGAGGGGGGGGCTATTTTGGGCCCCCCCCCCAGTGGGTCACTGGTGGGGGGCGGGGGCTGCACCCAGTGGGGCATTTTGGGGTCCCCAGACCCGTTGTCACCCCCCACACACCCCTTCCCCACAGGTACCAGTTCCTGGAGGACGCGGTGAGGAACCAACGCAAGATGCTGTCGACGCTGGTCAAGCGCTTGAGCGACAAACACGCCAGCCTGCAGCGCTCCACCAAGGAAGTGCGCAGCTTGTACGTACCCCCCCCTGCCCCCTGGGGCAGTTATGTGCCCCCCTGGGGGGCATTTAAACCCCCCTCTCATCACCCTTTCTCTGCCGGCAGCATCCGCCAGGTGACGGACGGGCAGCAGCGGGTGCAGGTGGACGTGAAGATGGCCATTCTCCAGATCATGAAGGAACTCAACAAACGGGGCAAAGTGCTGGTCAACGACGCCCAGGTGAGCCGGCGTAGGGAGAGGACGATGCCAAAGACGCAACCGCGGTGTTAATGCCCTCCTTCTTGGTGGCATTGTCCCCCCCCTTCCTTTCCTTGTAGAAGCTGACGGTGGGGCAGCAGGAGAAACTGGAACGGCAGCATTGGGCCATGACCAAGTTACAACGACACCAAGAGCACATCCTCCGCTTCACCTCCTGGGCTCTGGAGAGCGACAACACCACCGCTCTGCTGCTCTCCAAGAAGCTGGTGAGATACAAAGGGACCAAAACCTCCTCCCAGAGCCCTCCCGAACCCCTCATCTTGGTCAGGGAAGCTCCCCCGGGATGGGTGGTTGGGGACATTTGGTTCCCTCACCTCTGGGAGACCGGTGGGGAAACTGGTGCCAGAGAGCGAAGCTGCGCCCCAGCCTGGGGTCTCCTTTCCTCTAGGTCCCCCTTTTTGGGGGGGATGTGGGGCCAAGCGGGGTCAGGAGAGGGTCTCCTGTGGGGTGGTTTGCCCCCAGCTCCCCCTCGGTGTCCCCACGGTGCACCGTGTCCCCTGCGGCTGCGCGTGTTCCCCCCCTCAGAGCGCTGCAGTGGCATCTCTGGGACATGCTGGGTCCCCGTGCTGGAACGGGTGCTCCCCCTGCCATGGGGGTTATCTGTAGCAGGTCCCCTCAGAGTCCCTGTGATGTGACAAGTGCCACCAGGGTGCCACATCAGGTCCCCTTGCAGTCCCCATGGTGGGATGGGTGCTACAGCAAGTGCCCTCGGGGTCCCCGGGGCACAGTGGGTGCACCAGGGTGCTGCCACGTGTCCCCTCAGTGTCCCCGTGATGTGACGGGTGCCTTCAGGGCGCTGTCACGTGTCCCCTCAGGGTCCCCATGTGATGGGTGGCCTCGGGGTGCTGCCACATGTCCCCTCGTGGTCATCATGATGTGATGGGTGCCCTCGGGGTGCTGCCACGTGTCCCCTCGTGGTCATCATGATGTGATGGGTGCCCTCGGGGTGCTGCCACGTGTCCCCTCGTGGTCATCATGATGTGATGGGTGCCCTCGGGGTGCTGCCCCGTGTCCCCTCAGG